TGGAGGTGGTAAAAAACCTGAAATAATTGCAAAGCAACTTTTTCCTCAAAAATTTCCTGCAAACAAATCTTTTTCTCAAAGAAAACTTTCTAAATCTGAACTACAAGAGTTTAAAAGAGCATTAAAAGCTGAAGCTACTTGGCGTTTGGAATTTTTAATTAATAAAGATAAATTTCATATGTCCTTGGCTGAATTCGATTCACATTATTAATAATTTTTTAAATGTGTTCGGAAAATTGATTTGCATAATTATAAAAAACTAAGATTCGCATTAATATGATTTGCCATTTAATTTGACGGTCACATACTATAGAGTTTTCCGGTCCTGGGCCACCATGAACGATATTATCAACGTGTAAACAATATAATGCAGATGTTAATTCTTTAGCAAGTTTTAATTTTTGCGCCCACAACAAATCATTAGTGCTTAGATATTCGTGCAAATTGTCTTTAGTATAATCAAGAATTAACGAATAAATATTTTCTTGAGTCGAGTCTATTTTAAATTTTTAGTTTTTGAATTGAGATTAATTTAAATTAAAATGTAAATAAAGACGGATATTAAATTACGTCGTCGCAATATACTTTCAAATATTCCATAATATTTTCATGATTTGATGATCTTGTAACTAAAATAAGATTTATTTAAACAAAAAAACAAAACCTCTTTAACAAATTCTTTAATTGTGTATAAATCATTTAATTTTAAATTCAATAAAGAAAATCTTCTTTGTATTTTATTTGAATAAACTTTTTTTAATATGATATCAGGTGAGTTTTTGATTATTTTTCTTTTGTGAATGCTTCGTAATTATTCTCAATACAAGAAATTCATTCTTTTAGCTTTATCCAACCATCCTAATGCTTGGTTTTCAGTTTCTATTATAACAATCATATTTATAAGGTTATTGATTATGATAAAGGTTTTAGTGTATTTAGTAATAAGCAGTAAATAATTGTAGGATATTATGCAAGCAAAAATGTTGAGTCAATAATAATGATCTTGTTATAATTGATTACCGAATTATATATGTAGTTCGAATGGAATATAGAGAGCGAAAAGAACGAGAGAGGTAGATAATTTCTTGGCCATTATATATTATTTTTTTTGATTAGAGGTTGGAGTCGACTAAACTTTTTTTGAACAACAGTCGATTATTTAGTTGACTATTTAGTCGACTAATTAGTCGACTACTAATACTACTACTACTAATACCAATACTACTACTACGCTAATATTATTATTGTCTGACCAACTGTAATTTTTGTGTTTTATCATTCAAAATGGAAAATCTCTATGCGGAAGAGTATCAAACCATCAATATGATGATGACGACAATAGTAGTGGTGTTGTTGATGATAATTTTACATGCGAATGAATAAACGCTTCCAATACAAGGTCCAATAGTTCATTGGCTTCAAGTTCCAATTATTTAAGCGGTGGTTCCAGAAGACCTTTAAAAAAACGAATCGTAACACATGGTTTTGTGTGGAAGCATTTTGAAAAGTGAATTTCAAACGGAAGTGAATTCGTAATTTGCAAATTAAAAAAAAAAAACGAAATATTATTATTATTATTATTATTAAAAAAACTTAGTCGACTAATATAACCGACTAATAGTAATGCTAAATAATCGACTAAAATAGTCAACTAAAATAATCAACTAATAGTTGACTAAATAGTCAACTAATTAGTCGGCCAAAGAAAATTTTGACCAACTAGTAGTCAACTAAGGATTTTTTGGACGATTCCAACCTCTATTTTTGATAATGACCTCGGAGGAATTCGTTCTTGTTATCAGGTATGTTCGACGTATTAATGGCAGAAAAAATTTTTTTTCTTTAATTCAAATTATTATTAAGGGTAGAGTATAGTCATGTGATTTTTCATAACAACTGAAAAGATAAATTTTTTGACGATCATTTTCTTATGTCACACATTAAATATAAAATAATTCTAAAACGATCAAGTTTTTTAGCTTCAACAACAGCGCCATCTTTGAGGCCATAAATAATCAAACTACAAATTAAGGGTAGAGTGTAGATAGCACGAATTTTACTATGATACAGTAAATAATTTTTGACTGCCAATCATTAAACATTATTATTATATACAGTAATATATAGAAAAAATCATTTTTATTTTATTTGTAAAAGAATGACTGATAATTAATATTAAATATTTAATATAACATTGTCCTTTTCTTCTATGACATCCTTTAGCAAACAAAAAAATAAAATAAACAAGCTACAGTTCACTCTCTCTATAACAAACATCTTAGTATTTATAATGAAAAAAGGCACATATAGGGACTGAAGGTTCATTATAGAGAGAATGAGCTTGCATATTTTCTCATGTTCCTTATTTATAAATAAATTATGATGTCATGAGTTAATTATATTAGTTATTTTCACAAAATAACATATTAATTATATTAATTATTTCACAAAATACCAAATAAAATTACAGGAAGCCCTATGTTTTTGTTTAAAGTAAAAGAAAATTTGATATAACTTCCATGAAGAATAGTATATAGAACAAATAGTATATGTAGAGTAGGTGGAGATACATTGCTATCTTGTTATTGACTTCTCAACTCATCTATATAGTTGTTTCAAAAAATTCTATTTTTAAATGTTTTAATGATCAAAATTACATGAGTAAAACTAATATCACTTACCTTGATTAAAAACAGGCAATTTTCTTTTGGTATTTATATTTATTACAAAGAAATGGACAAGATTTTAACAAATTATTAGTCTTTTATTTATTCTAAAGAAATATTATTACAATTATTATTGTGTGTGTTACGGCTATTTATTATATTTATTATAGGTTTGATATGTTTTATAAGCGATGGGAAAATTTTTATAAGTGATGGGAAAACTACTTTTGACTTTACAAGTTTTTTTTAAAAGAACCTTTTAACAAGACATCAAAATTTTTATTACGATACGATTGGATAGGTTCTGAAAAAGGATTTTGCAATAGTAAACATCTCACAAAAATTAGTTTTTGGAATAATAGGTATGAAGCTAGCAAACTCGGAGTGTTACGTAATTTTTTTTATCAACAGTATTAATAATAATAATTCATAGTGAAATTCGTGTTACCTACACTTTCCCTTAATTAATTAAATAAATTGTTTCATGAATTTTCATTGGCTGATCTTATTTGTACGATACGATAATAACAATGACAGGATTTTATTATATATAATATACAAAGAGTAGTGGAAAATAAAATAAATGCACGAAGGTAACATTACACCAATCAAATTTGGAAACAGTTCTTAATCGAATAAATAAAAAACCTTACTTTTTCATTTCGTTGAACAAGTTTAAAGAATCCGCAAATAACATATATATAGTATGAAAGTTTTCTTTTTTTTTTCTTTTTTTTTTTAAAAAAATAAAATTATAAAAATAAATATTAATTTATAAAAATTTATAATTATAAAAAAATGGCTAGTCGGCAACAACAAAGTCAAGAAGATGATAATCAACAATTTCAATTAATTCCTGATCCCAACCAAGTTCTTCAACCAATTCATAATTACGATCAACAACAACATAGTTTGCAACAATTCCAACCAACTAATCGCGAGACAACTTTTATTGGACAGCATAATCCAAATGACAGCAACAATAATAATTTATTACAGCAGCAAACACTTTATGTTACACAATATCCAACCACATCATCATCGGCTACAATTTATAATGGTGATCACTTTAATTCAACTAACTTTATTAATAACAATAATAACGATAATGATCCTTTAAGTTTAAGAATTTCTCGCCGAATGATGATGATTAAAGATTGTATCATGGAGATGCAACAACAATATATTTTACTGGAACAAGATTTCGTCAAGTTAAGACGCGGCAGGTAAAAAATTTTTCATTATTTATTTATAATTTTCTTTTTTTTAGAGAAAAATAAACGGAAAGCAATTTGTAAGGAAGGGCAAATAAAGAATTTATTAATATTATTATTAAATGAAAAAGTTTCCATTGAATATTATATATACAAAATGAGAAAAAAAGAACAAAAAACCAAAAATTTAAAACTTTCTCTGTTATTTTTTCACTCTGGATCTCAGTATATCCACCATTCTCTTTTTCTCTCACAAAAAAAAATCAATTAATTGACAACTGAGTAGCTGATAAGAAAATATCTACTTTAGATTGATCACCAGAAGTTACGATATGATGATAATTCCTTAATAAATTATCTACATCTTCCATACTTTGAGGTCTAATATCGGCCAATTCCTTAATTTTAGTTGTAACCTTTTTAACTTGTTCATCTGTTAAGGTTAAATCCAATTGTTCAACACGATTCTTAACTGCATTCCAACCGGTTAACCGATGTCCAATTGATACATATCTAGTCATACTATATATAATAATAATTCATTTTAAAAAAAAAAAAATAAATATATAAACATATTTATTTAATAATAAATTGCATGATTTTATAATAACGTACCCAAAATCTTCAGGTTTCAAAATCTCATATGTACTTGGATTATTTAATATAGCTTTAGCATGTATACCAGCTTTATGAGTAAAAGCACAATAACCAGTAATGTAATTGTTAAATGGAACCTCCACACCGACTGAATCTGCTACCAAATTTTCTAAATCTCTTAACATGTGTAATTTATATTTGGATTTAATATAATCTCTATTTGCTGTATACATTCTTGCAATCAAACCTCCAAGTGGTGTGATACCATTACGTTCTCCAATACCTAAAATTGATGTATCAATATGTGTCGCTCCTGCTTCAAGTGCTATTAATTTTATTTATTTTGGAGGAGGTGAAAAATAAAAATCGGTTAATCGTTAATTATTCTTAATAATAATTATTATTAATACTATCATGACTATTACTATAACGACAACTAACTACAACAACGACGACGATGATCTTTTAATTACCAGCATAAGCATTAGCAATAGCACATCCAGTATCGTTATGAAAGTGGCATTCAATATCACAAGAAACAACACCTCTAAGGGTTCTGACTAATTCATAAACTTGTCTTGGATTTGCACATCCGACTGTATCAGCTATGCCAACTCTGTTAACACCCAATTTATCCACTGCTCGATAAATACTCAATAAATCCACTAGATCGCTACGAAATGAATCTTCTGATGAAAATCGAACTTCAATTCCTTTGGATTTAACAAATTGTATCACTTCAGTTGCCTTCTCTGTAATATAATCCATATCTTTGCCGTGACTAAATTCCCTTAAATATGACGAAGTACCAATCACTACATCAACTCCATCAACACCTTATAAAAAAATTATTATAATTATAATTATAATTACATATATATATATATATATACATACAAATATAAATGATTCATATTAAATTGTTTATTCATCTTTACCTGTTTCAACAGCAATTTTAGCATCATCCATATGACACCGTATATGAGTCAATATTTTTGCTTTCAATCCTAACTTACAAATTGCTTGGCAATCTTGCCTTGATTGTTCAGATGCAGCCGGTGATGTCAATTCAATATATTCTACTCCAAATGTATCTAACGCTTTAGCAATTTCTATTTTTTTCTTTGTATCAAAAAATGCATTCGCAAATTGCTCGCCCTCTAAATTTTTTTCGTAAAAATTAGTTTAAAACTTAAAATAAACCCCCTAATAATGATAATAAAATACTAATCATATATTTATTTACCTCTAAGAGTTGATTCAATAATAGCAAAGTTATGAACTCTGCTTAATAAATCAGCATATCTTGGTGTGTACGGGTTGTTGACTATTGCTGAAGAATTACTGTTGTTGTTGTGGTTATTGTTGTGGCTATTACCATTATTATTTGTATGTAGAGTTTTATTTTTATTGCTATGACCGTTTGTTGTTGCCATTTTACTCAATTTTTGGTGTTTTTTTATTATTATTTTTTGTTATTATTTTTTGTTATTATTTATTATTATTATATTATTTGTTGTTTTTAATTTTCGTGAGAAATTTCGTAAAAAAGAAAAAACACTTCTTTAAGTAGCAAGGATTCTTGTTCTATAGATGAAAAAAAATCAAGATTATCATTTGATTAAACCCCTCTAATGTTGATTTAAATATTATTGATAATAATAACTAATGATCATTGTGTCACGACAAAAATAGGCTGTGTTAATTGTGTAAATTTAAATTAAAATTGATATAAAATGTGTCAAGTTAAGTCAGAATATTTTTGTGTCCATTAATTAAAAAAACCACAATCAAGTCATAGTAATGTAGTAATTACTATGATGAATAGCGTGTATCAATTGATTTTATTTGGATATTGAGGCTGAGTTGAGGCTGAGTTGAGGTTGAGTCATTTAAAGAAATGTTTGATCAAATATCCAAAGTTGGCAAATCTTCAAGAGCATTTTTTTAATGTAACATTACCTAAAAAATATATTATTATGTTTATTAATATTATGAAATAAAATTAGAAATAATAATGCACTTTTTAATTTTGGCTAATAATTTCAAACAGCGATTTAGTCCATACCAAGACAGTGTGTAAATCTTGTAGAAACATGGAAAGCGCGTAAAGGAACAAACATGATAAATATTTAGGGATGTTAACAGTCCAGGTCCAAACTTAATGGAGTCGGTCTGGTCTTAGGTATCAAAGACCGTTGAAATTTTTTTATCATAAAAGCATTAATTTCTATTTGTTAAAAATATTATTTATTATCATAAATTCCAAATTATTAGTATATTCGAAAAAAAAAAATTTTATATAATTCAAAATTCCATTCCTTCTAAAATCCAGGCAATACAAATTCTTCAAAATATTCGTTTATTTGAATCATTTGTTTTATTCGAATTACTTGATTACTTGATTTACTCGTTTTATTTTTTATTTTTTTTTTATCCGTTTTTTTTCGAATTGCTTGATCTATTCGAATTACTTGATTTATTAGTTTTATTCGAGTCATCTGTTTTATTCGAGTCATTTGTTTATTCGTTTATTTGTTTCATTCGAATTCAAATTACTTGATTTATTCGTTTGTTTGTTCGTTTGTTTGTTTGTTTGTTTGTTTAGAAACTCTAAGTCTGGACCACGGTCCGGTCCTTTGATTAGATTGACGGTCTTTGGACCCTATAATAATAATAATAATAATAATAATAATAATAATAATAATAATAATAATAATAATAATAATAATAATAATAATAATGTTCAAAGTCCTGTTCCCTGTTCCTTGTTACTAATTCTTATTGGCTGATCATAAGGAATACTAGAAATGATTTCCAAAAAATTTTACTGAATAAGGTTAAAAAAATGAAACCGAGAAAAACCCGGTTCAAAATAAAAAGTAACTTCTACTAAAATGGCAGTTTCTTCTAATAATAATGATGAGCAACAACAAACCGTTTATCCTATTGATTCAAAGGCAGATTCTTCTGCTAATAAATCACATTCATCATAATTTAATAGCGGGTTTTTACTATGTAAATTCATAAATCAGTACAAAAATATATACAAAATAGAGTTTTGGGAACCAGGGGATTTTTTACCTAATAAGTATTGTACAACATTGAACAGGAGGCAGGAATTGAACACCCCTCATTTGTGTGTAACCTATGTAAATTTTATTTTCATATAATTGAAAAGTTAAAAAAATGGCATCGCCTGCAACTGGTAACAATAGTAGTACTAATACTTTTACAACCACATCTGCTACAACCGTTGCAGATGCAACAATACAACAGTTAGAACCTCCACCGAAAAAACTTGATAAAGGAAAAGAGAAAATGACTACATTTCAACCTGACTACTCCACAAATAATCCTTTTTTAAAAAAATTGGAAGGTAAGCTCTATAAATATTTTTTTTTATAAATATATTAAATATATATATATATATATTTATAAAGTAATATTAATGTTTTTAATTTTATTCAAGATCATAATATGGATGCTACTAATATTGATACATCAAAATTAATTTCTCAATTTCAATCATCCAGTTCTTCATCATCTTTAACTTTTGAGGATGAATATGTTGAATCAGTTTTACCCAATAATAGTAAAAGTATTTATATTCATACATAAATTTATATTAAAGCTGATGGTAAATATTAATTATATTTGTTCAAATTAAATTTAGAACGTAAAAGAGACAATAAAAGTATCATGGATATGTCAGATTCCAATAATCAAGAGGTAAATTTTATTATTATTGATTTTATTTTAGTAAAAATAGATAGGACCTTGGATAATTATAATTGAATTGGTATGGTGAAAATTGGTAGAAATTTTATTCCAAAAGGAAATTTCTTACCAAGATTTTCTGAGTAGAGTTGATAATTTTTATATATATTCTCTCTGGATACCAGCTTAATTATAATTATTTCAAAATATCAAAAGCCAAATTAATCCTAATGCACATACATATATTTAAATCTACATATAGCTTCAATATGAAAGCTTTAAATTTAGATTTGACACAGCAATTACATTGTTAAAGAGTAAATATATGGGTGAATGTCTCATTCATCAAGAAGGATGCGTTATATTAGATAATGAAAAACATTTTGTCTTGAACAATGTTTTATATCGTCACTGGGCCAGTTTGGTGGTATGTAGAATATTAAATTTTTATTTATTCCTTTGTTCCATTATCATTGTTATTATTATTAGAGTTTGATTAATTGAATTTGTTTTAGGCATCAGGAGATGATTACAATATTGATTCATTGCCAGTTGCACCAGAATTAGATGAGTTTGATGAATCTCATGCAGTTTCAATTTAAATTCAATCATCATCACAATACCAAGGTTATTATTTGATATTGTAAGCTTGAAGTACATGTTGAATTGCTGGAGATGTAACTTGAGTGAACAAAACATTATCACTTTATTTTTAATTTTGGTAAAATATATATAATATAATTAGATTGTGTTATGATAACTGTAAATAAGTAAAATAATAATAAATATATATACATAACAATACCAATTGTGAAAAAAATTGTACATAATGACCAACAGTTGAAGAAGTCTATGTTCAGCTGCAAAATATTATAAACACCATTCAGGTATGCATTCTATACAAGTCATCCCAGCAAGTAAATTGATTGAGCAAGCCAATAAATTGGATTGACAACTCATGTCTATGGATAATCAAAAGAAAAAAAATCAATGAAATAATTTAATTGAATATGACTTTAAACAGTGATGCTTCAGAAATACATTTAGTACTGTTGGTATTGATCATGGATAGTTTTAGAGATTAAAGTGATGGTTGGTGATATTGGAGCAACTTTGATATTAAAGATGATGATGGGTGGATCAATATATATATCAAAACAATAAACAAATATTTATATCTTTAATCAATTAATTGACTGCTTAGAATATATCAAAAATATTGAAGTGTAAAATATGGTGAAAGTAAAAGCTTGAGTTAATAATATTAAACTAAAAAGATCCATTTTAAATAATTATTGTTTTTGCCTATTTTTAATAATAATAATTATATTAATATGCAATGTCCGTTGACTAAAAGTTTAAGGCAGGGGAATCACGTGCCAATTGTGTTACCCAGATCATATGAACAGCCAATACAATAAAAATTTCATATGAATTCCCTTACCCTTAAGGACTAATTAATGTAGTATTGTATATATGACGACGTCGTTATGCTATATAAGCTCTTTGCTCAACGACTGCTATTTGGTTTTAATTTCTTTGAACGGTGTCATTCGCCACATCTTGGTCATATATTTCCATTACTCAAGTACTGAAGCAACTTCTGCAAGCTACACTTGGTGCATCTGGTCATGCTTTGGTGGATGTTGACATCTTTCACGATGGTACTTGTGTATTTGTCTCAAATGTTTTGCAGTTTCTCCTCTTTTTCTTGCTATTTCGAAATTGTCTTTTTTCTCTTTGCTTTTTTATAACTTCATAATAGGCGAGCATTATTCTCTGGTAGATGTAACTATTCACGATCTGTGTAACTCCAATACCATCTTGTGAATTTTCAACGTATAAATTTATAATATGTGAAGAGGTGTTGCAATATCATGTAGATAGAGCAAGTATGGAAAGTTAAATTGTTGTGTGAAATGAAATTATGCAAATACATTTTCACAACTATCATTCACTTTGAGATTTAAAATTTTATCAAACAACAGCCAGAACAATTTGTAATAACAATAATAGCAACAAAGCAGTCTTTACCACAAGAAATAAACAAAGACCATTCAATTACACCATTACAAAAATTGTTTGCTGCTTATAGTGGGACTTTGTTAACTTTGCCTTTTGGTAAGTGAAAAAGAACATAAACGAAATGACTAATTATGATGATATTAATTATATATTTCACTTATACTGTTATAGAAACACCATTTGATGTAATAAAGACTAGATCACAATCACAAAATGTTTCCAATAATAATACATTTTCAGATATCAAACCATTAGCATCAACATCATATTCATCAACATCATTGGCATTGCCATCATGTTGTAATCAAAGTTTATTTTTTCATCAAGAAACTTAAAACAAAAGTTTTTTTATCAATTGGAACCAAATTATCATCTAGTATAGTTTCAGATGCAACAGCAACTCTACCACCTTCTACTCAGAAAGTAGTAACAAAACATTACTAACTTGATTGAGTAGTGATGAAATTTTTTTCGCATTTTCCTTGAAAGATGAGAACCTAATTATTAAATTAATTAAGTTTTGGATATAGGATGATATTGTTAAAATTGCTTGTTATAAGGGGATTATGGTGAGGTCTATCACCATCACTGTTAGTTTGAATGAATAATTTTACTATGATCATGTATTGCATGACTTTATATATATATTCACATGTTAGAGCAATGTCTGTACCAGTAACAATGATATAATTTATAGGTTATGATCATACAATAGACAAGTTATGGGCAAATTGGAAAGGAAAATATTCCGAAGTTTATTCACCATTAATTGCAGGAGCTACAGCAAAAAGTAAATTTTTTACATGATAAATGTTAAGATTCCAATCTTTATCTTTATTATCATGTGTGTGTATAGCTACTTCTGCATCAATAATATCACAATTAGGATCGTTTCGAATCAAATCCCAAGGATCTGAAAGTATAAACGGTTTGAGAGGAGTATTGAATGGTGTACAAACAATGATTTTCAACAATGGTATTTCATCATTATGGTGTGTGGTCTGGAATCTAGATGTACCATTTTTTGGTAATTTTTTTTGAAAAGAATTATTGCACTATAAATTTTATAAATATTTATTTATGTTAGCAATTTATTTGGCTGGCTATGAATTTGTGAATGATACATAAAAAATTATCTACATGAAAATAATCATGACGAAAAAGTCAACAATGTTGAAGTTACATTTTTGAGTGGTGATATTTCTGGTGGTGTAAGTAAAAAACATATTTTCAATTTTGAGAGAGATATAAATATATATGCTAACAATTTGTGTTATATATATTAAATTAGTTTTCAGCATTGATTGCTACGCCTTTTGGTGTATCCAAAACTAGGCGACAAGTTTCAATAATTCAATGTAGTAGGTTTGAGCGATGA